TTGTTTTTTGACTTGTTCGCAGTTAGAGCAAACCCACGTTTTTTTCAATTATTTTTAGTGCTTCGGTGTCTTTATCAGCAAGGTTGACGCACCTACCATGAAAAATTATTTTACACTTAACGCAGTGTATATTGTTCTTATCTTCGCGTGCGATAGAGTTTTTGCAAATATTACACTGCACCATTTTTTAAATTTATTAATAAGAATTACTTCGCAATTAAAATATAAATAAATACCAGGACTGTTGACAGTAGTAAACAACGTCTAATGCTGTTAGAATCAGTAGACGATTGCAAGCTCGTTGCTCCAAGAACTCTATCAATCTCACTGCACTTTCTTTACTCCGATTAGTGTGGAGATCCGACACTTAATAGCGTGATTATTATTAGTGTTTTTTTTTTTAAACAAGAAGAAAAAAAAACTGAACTTAACTGAACTGAAATTAAATTAAAGAAAACGAATTACAATATGAACGAATTACAGCGATGTACACACGAGGGCGTCTCAGGCCAGACTCTGAGGTATACTTATGAATATCCTTATGTTTAAACGTAGTAATTCTAGTTATCAGTTTTTTCGAGATGGCAAAGTTTATCAGACGGATCCTATTATCATTACTATATTCGTGAAAACATTCTTTACCAATCGCCAGAAAATAAACTTCTTCTCTCCCCGCCTTTCACATAAGTCGCTGTTTAAATCCTTATAAAGCTCATGAAATCTGGACATTCTAGATTTTCCCTTATATCCGCTTTAAAAATATTTTCTAATTTAGTTAAAATATGTGAAATTATTTTATTAATTGTGTATTCTAATGGGATATTAATTCTATTACAGAACTCAGTATTTTCTTTATGCTAAAATATTTTCTGTTTTATTATTTCTTTAGCCAAAATGTTCGGTGGTCTTTATGCTGGTAATGAAAGTTGGCTTTATATATTTTGCAAATGTAAAGATAGATTTTTAAAGAATATCGTTTTCAAATTGAATTCTAAATATAAAATGTAATGTGTTGAATTAATAGAAAGGAAAACAGCTTATTTATGAAAACTATATTCTGTTTTTTGTCTTCTTCAAAACTATAATCTCCCTAGACTTGGCAAGCGTAACAAATTATTGATTGCAGGCCAGTGTGTAATTTATTTTATGATGATATTTCATTATTTTTTAACATGCAATTGTAGTAGATGTATGTTGTACAAATTCTGAAAAGTTTAACTTATCTAAAAAGTTTGTTGCATGAATATTCTGGTTGCACAGAGAAGTCAGGCCTATTACCAGATTATTCTCATAATTTACTATTTCTAAATGATGTGCTTCCATTTTACATTTATCGTTTTTCTCCTAATTTTCCTCCATTGCGAAATAACATAATTTTTGTTTTCCATGTTAACTGATTAATTCCATAAACTACTGTTCTTCGCTACTCTATTTATCATCATTTGTAATTTTTAGGTTCCGGTGCAAGCAAAACAATATCATCGGCGTAAATTTACATAAGTCTTTGTACTCTTTTTTATTACTAATGCGAAGTTTTCTAATCAAATCACATTTAATGTCTCTGTAAAAATTCAACAGACCAAATGTTTTATTTCTTAATTTTAAACATTGATAAACAAACCATTTTTAATTAAATTGATGTTTATTAATCCTATTCCGTTTAGTACGGTTTCCTAAGTAAGATGCATATGTAATAATACTAATGAAAAAATCTGGTGTGTCCACTCACACGACCCTCCTACCTATTTAAGAAAAGTTTTGATATCATTACATATGTCCAACTAGAACAAAAAAAATTAATTAGATTTATTTTCCTGAAAATTGACCAAAGAAAAGATTTAGGAAGTTTCGGAAACGTATGATCCGTCGAAAAACAGATTTAGGAAATTTGACCCGATCGCAATACTTTCCTTACCTAGTATAGCTAGGAAAGTAATAAATTGAATCATGTGTAGAAAATAGAATAAGCTGTATCGTCGATAATACTGGTTTGATTCCGATGATTTTCTTTTCTGTTTTGTTAGTAATTTAATTATCTTTCAAATGTTTTATTATAGATTTTACCGGAGAATATATACTTAGCGATTTAGGCCCAAAAGATTTTTCATTTCTTCATAAATTTATTTCCTGAATTTTCTCGGAAATTCAGTCCAAATACGAAAGTCGGAAGGACAATCATTAGAACATTATAGGAAAGTTTCATCAAAATCGTTTGAGCCGTTTTCGCGCTATAATCGATAGCTCTGTTTACTGAAACTCATTTAACAGAAAAACAAACATTTAAGCTACAAGATTACGAAACTTACATGGAGGAACTGCAATTATTGTGGACAAATCCTTAAATCACCATATTCTTCCTGCTGCTTCTACGAATTCCCTACAATACACCAACATTTCTCTAAACTCCTCAAAATTCCAACTCACGATTGCCTCAGTCTATATAGTTCCCAATAAAGTTATATCCACGAATGAATTAAAGGCTATTTTCTCGACAATGGGAAAATCATTCATTGTAGGAGGAGATTTTAACGCTAAAAACACAAGGTGGGGATCTAGAGTGTCCAATACTCGTGGAAAAAGACTACAAAAATGTATCGAAGATTTGAAATTTTCTGTAATTTCGCCATCTCAACCTACTTACTGGCCTACTTCACTATCAAAGTCTCCCGATCTTCTTGATTTCTTTGCCACAAGCTCCTTACCACATGCACATTCCAACGTTTCCTCTCTCCTTGACCTTTCATCTGATCATAGCCCAATTTTACTTGAACTTTCGAACAACCCTTTCGTTAAACCCAAACCCCCGATAATACTTAACGGTTACATAAACTGGGACTTTAATTAATCACTTTAATTAGTACAGCTGACGACCTCGAAAATGCAGTCAACGACCTAACAAAAAGTATACAAGAGGCTATTTGGCATTCAACGAGACCACCATACACTAAACCTGCTTCTTACCTACCTCAGCCAATACATAATCTTATAAAAGAAAAACGTAGGATTAGAGCCCTATGGCAAAGAACTAGATATCCATCGTACAAAACAGAACTCAACAAACTAACTAGAAAACTTCACGAAAAACTATTAAAATTTAAAAATGACAGCTATAAAGACTACATAGACACAATAAACAATAGAAATGGATCAATATTGACAACAACAAGACGTATACTAAAGAAAAAAGACCTTCAATACCCTCTCCGACGTACAGACAACACTTGGGCAATAACAAGCGAAGAAAAAGCCAATGAATTCGCTAAATATCTTGCACAAGTATTTGGGACAAACACAATACAGGACAATAATTTTACTGACGCAATAGAAGAAGAATTGACAACACCACTACCCTTATCACTACCCCCACCGGCATTTCATCCAAAAGAAATTTACAAAGAAATCAACAGACTACCAAACAAAAAAGCTCCTGGCTATAATCTAATCACTCCCTTCGTTCTTCGACACCTACCTCGAAAAGCTGTTTTGTTTCTTATACACATCTATAACTCCATTTTACGCACTACCTATTTTCCTCTCCTTTGGAAACTCTCCACAATCAAAATGATTGCCAAACCTTCAAAACCTACCACTTCTCCTTCGTCCTATCGTCCTATAGCACTTCTTCCAATAATGGGCAAACTATTTGAAAAACTATTACTAAGCCGACTAAAGCCTATTCTAGAATATAGTGAAGTGATACCAAATCACCAGTTTGGCTTTCGCTGTTATCACTCTACTGTGCAACAGTGCCATCGGATAGTAGATGCTATCTCTATGAGTTTTGAAAAAAAGGGATATTGCTCTGCCGTCTTTCTCGACATAGAGAAAGCATTTGATAGTGTCTGGCGCAATGGCCTATTATGGAAACTAAAACCGCACTTACCTTCCACTTATTTTTTAATTCTTCAATCCTACTTTTTAAAAATTTTTCTGCACTTCCGTAGACTCTTCTGTGTCTTCCTTCTTTCCCCAACACAAAGGCGTACCACAAGGTAGCGTCTTAAGCCCAATCCTCTATTCTATATACACTTCTGATATCCCTGAGCACCCTAATACCACCATTTATTCGCTTCGCTGACGACACTGCTATTCTAACTTCACACAAAAATCCTACTATCGCATCAATTGCCCTACAAAACCATCTTCATGATCTTGAAAAGTGGTTTGAAAACTGGAGAATCAAAATTAATAGTACAAAATCTACCCACATTAGTTTCTCTCTTAGAAAAGCCTCATGTCCACCCATAACGATTGCCAATAATCCAGTGCCTTCAAAGAACAATGTACGGTACCTTGGACTCTACTTAGACAAAAGACTTACCAGGAACATACATACGAAATTAAAAAGACAAGAACTTACCAGACGATATAGCCAACTTTCACATCTTCTGGACTACAGATCTTCACTTAACTTACGAAACAAGCGACTTATCTACAACACCTTACTGAGACCAATATGGACATATGGAGCAGAATTTTGGATTTCACCAAAACAAACACACATAAACAACTGCACAATCAAAAATTTTACGAAAAATTGTTAACGCACCTTGGTACATTTCAAACACTACTATACATAACGACTTAAACACCCCAACAGTAAAATCCTACATCCACGACAAATAGACATTTCATTCTTCAACCCAAAATCACTCCAATCCTCTGGTTCTTTCTATCTCATGCTCCCTGTTACCTGAGCAACGAAGATTAAAAAGAAATTGGCCAAGAGACCTACTACATCAATAAAAAAAATCTAGCAATTACACCAATACAATAAAAATACAACAAATTTGCTAGATGCGCAGGTGCAAATTGTATAAAATAAAAAATAAAAACATTCTATAATATGGTATAACAGTTACCATTTATTGGATTTTATTCGGTAATATTGATTATAGAATGGCCTAAAGATTGTTAAATAATTAATATTTGATTTGATTCAATAACATTAATTATATTTTGGAACGAAATAGTTTAGATTGATTTATCGCATACCCTACCTTTCTCTTATTCTAAAAAGAGTGTCATTTGCGGAACAATTTCCAGTAAACTCCGGGTAAGATTTGCAGGTGGTGTTGTCAAATCTGCCCCATTTCGCTTCATAGATATTTATTACCTCTCCATAACCACATTCTAGGTGCAAGGTTTCGAATTGACAATTAACAGTCCAATTGCCTTAAATAAAAAAAATTAATTAGAATAACATGGCAATACCTTCTGTTATATTGAAAATACTGAATTAATTATAAACATTATCTAAGAACATTTTTTCTAGTATTATATTTCATCAAACATTTCTGTATAAGATTTTTCAAAACTGTTGAATTCGTATAGGTAATTATTTCGAAAAATTTTCATGAATAGTCTTGTTTTGTTTTTTTGTTCTAGCTAAAATTAATTCATAAATAAAGATATTTTAAATCATACAGATCACTTTTATTTTCGTTATTAACCTTAAGGCTTACGTAAAACAGTATGGCTAATTTATAGGCGAACATACAACCGAAACTAATGATAGGATTAGTTTTATTTATTTTGTCTGTGTTTATTTTTATTTTTCCTTTTCCAATTGAATAAATCTACTATTTTACAGTAAAAACATTAAGATTTTTGGATGGATATTTGTGCCAAACACTATTATTTCAGCTACTATGACACTATCTGATAATTGAAAAATAATAAAGAAAATATTGTAATAAATTTCCTTTCTCAGCAAACAAACGAATCTGCTAAATAATATTTAAATATGAAAAAAAAAATTAAGCAGGAAAATAACCACCTCAACATTTAGAAATCCATACTAATTTTAATTTAGTGCAACATGTCTTTGAAGTTCTCTATATAATATTGTATGCTTAAAATATAGAAATTCATTCTACAAATCGTGATAGTTTAGTTTCACATATGCGTTTTGAATTGAGCTTAAAAAGCGGCAATCTGTTTAAATAAAATTATTCAAATCAATTAGGCAAATGATATACTTGGGTAAATACCAAAATATTAACCGAAATGTGTAAAATATCATAACAAATAACAGTTTTTATTAAAATAACGGTGTTTGATATTGAATTATTCTATAATATAATTATAGCGAGTCATAAAAAATACAAAAAGACTAGAATAGTTTTAATGTTTTTAATTTCGTTATATATAAAAAATCCTTAGTTATATAGCACCCATTTGCAAATATTCTTAAGACATCGATACGTTGAACGGCATTAAAAAAATGTACTAGCTTAAATTATTTAGGCATTTTACATAGACTGTTTTTATAATTACCTTTTTCTGGATTGTCTGTAGGAACATTGACAGTAATGTTTTTATGGGGGAACTTCTCCATTGATTCACAAGGATAATAATAAATCTTGCCACAAATAGTACAATCAATACCAGGAGTAGTACTGGTTGAAATAGTTGTGGGGACTCTACTAGTTGATGTACTCTCAGTACAGGTTGGAATGGTTGTAGGAACTGTAGTTGATGTACTCTCAGTACAGGTTGGAATGGTTGTAGGAACTGTAGTTGATGTACTCTCAGTACAGGTTGTAATGATTGTAGGAACTGTAGTTGATGTACTCTCAGTACAGGTTGTAATGATTGTAGGAACTGTAGTTAATGTTCTCTCAGTACAGGTTGGAATGGTTGTAGGAACTGTAGTTGATGTACTCTCAGTACAGGTTGTAATGATTGTAGGAACTGTAGTTGATATACTCTCAGTATAGCAGGTTGAAATGGTTGTAGGAAGTGTAGTTGATGTACTCTCAGTACAGGTTGTAATGATTGTAGGAACTGTAGTTGATGTACTCTCAGTATAGCAGGTTGAAATGGTTGTAGGAAGTGTAGTTGATGTACTCTCAGTACAGGTTGTAATGATTGTAGGAACTGTAGTTGATGTACTCTCAGTATAGCAGGTTGAAATGGTTGTAGGAAGTGTAGTTGATGTACTCTCAGTACAGGTTGTAATGATTGTAGGAAGTGTAGTTGATGTACTCTCAGTACAGGTTGTAATGATTGTAGGAAGTGTAGTTGATGTACTCTCAGTACAGGTTGAAATGGTTGTAGGAACTGTAGTTGATGTACTCTCAGTACTGGTTGGAATGGTTGTAGGAAGTGTAGTTGATGTACTCTCAGTGCTGGTTGGAATGGTTGTAGGAAGTGTAGTTGATGTACTCTCAGTACTGGTTGGAGTGGTAGGATTGATTGTACCAGGTGGTGTTAATATACTTCCAGGAGTGACTGGAATGGTTGTAAGAACTGTAGTTGATGTACTCTCAGTACAGGTTGAAATGGTTGTAGGAACTGTAGTTGATGTACTCTCAGTACTGGTTGGAATGGTTGTAGGAAGTGTAGTTGATGTACTCTCAGTGCTGGTTGGAATGGTTGTAGGAAGTGTAGTTGATGTACTCTCAGTACTGGTTGGAGTGGTTGAAATGACTGTAAGAGGTGGAGTAAATATATTTTCAGTACTGGTCGGAGTACTTGTAAGAGTTGGATTTGACATACTTTCAGTACTGGTTGTAATGTCTGGAGAGGTTGTACAACACCGACAACAACAACAACAACAACAGCAACAAGAGCAACAGTTAGTGCTATTTTTAGATTGTTCACAACTTAGAGGTACACTTTCAATTGTCGATGGACAACAGGTAGTAGTCGGCACAGGATCTGTGGGTTTTCCGGTATTACACTGAGTTGGAATTATACCATCCTTCCAGTTATATCTTTTATTATCTTCATCCGACATTGGCTTTATGTCTGGAGGAAAACTTGTCACAAATCTAGGTTCTGAAAAATAAGGGAATTGATTTAAAATAATTCTATGTATTCAACGATCCAAATCCTCTTAGAATAATTTAAATCACGACACTGAAATTGATCTGCAACATGCATAACAATTATATTCCTCTAACTGAGAAATAATAGTTCTATTTCTTTAGTCACTATAAATAATAAAAATATTACCTTCACTACGAAAATCAAATTAAAAATAATAATTATAACTGAATTAGATATTAGAGAGGCATCGCAGCTCTTCCTATGCCTTACAAGATATAAAATAAATATTTGCCTGAGACTGCCACCTGATGGTGGAACCCAGATGGTCCACCTCAAAGGTTGAGACCACAGACTTCGACCTGTAGGGGTAGAAATCAGGAAGGATCAGAGGAAATGGTAGAAGAGGAATCTTCCTTCAGGGTTGTGAGAAGGAAGAAAAGGAAGAAGGCCGCCCAGACCGGGGAAAGAAGCAGGAGGAGGAACCTTCGGGTGGAGGGGATGCCAAAGGCAATGCCAAAAAATGTGACGTTTTCTAGCGTGTTGACTGGAGTCCCTGTGGCACACAGAAAACAAGATGAGATGAGAGAAGATGGCCAACCTCAAAGATTTTCGAACAGCTTCCGACATAAGAAAAACTAAAGCAGATTGGCGCAAAGGACCGGATGTTAAGAGTCACCAAGGACGCTGTCTTCACCCTCTGGCCTCACTAAAACCACTCCATTTTAGTGAGGCCAGAGGGCACCATTCAAGCGCGGAAGCTTTTGTTTGGATCGGGGCAAGCTAAAGGAGAACGAACTCACGCCAGGCTACCAGCATCAAGGAAACCTAGTGCCGAGAGACCCACAAGAACCATAGTCTTTGAAACGCAACCGGCAATCAGATTCGCCTTACGTACCGCCTTGCTGGAGGAGATCGGTGAAGGATGGTGGACGATTATGGTCAGATACTTATTAGGTCCCCACTCTGTTTACGATGCCAAGACTATGGCCATTCTGCCAAAGCCTGTACAAAGGAAATCGCGTTCATGTGGTGCACTAGTACTGGGCACAAGGCGATGAAGTGTCCGGAGATGGAAAAAGGGATGGCTCCGTGGCAGAACTGCAAGGTGAAGAACAGAGTGGGAAAGAGCTTCAGCACTACACGGGCAGTAGGTCAGTAAGAGAACCCGATATGAATAGACTGCAGATCATTCAGGCCAGTATGGGCCGAAGACGATTGGTTGCGGACGAATTAAGAGGTAGACCTCATTGCGGTCCAAGAGCCGTGTTGTCGAAACAACATGGTCATTGGGTTTGGTGTAATGTCGAGGGTGATCGCTCTGAGCAGTGACTCAGAGCGGCTATAGTGGTAGTATATCCCGATATCGATGTAATGGAACTTAGGAATCTCACCACGGCGGAGGAGGCGGCATGCTATGTGAAATGGAGGAGACTATCACTTGTCCTTGTCTGAAATTGTTTGCGCAATTTCAAATCAGAAATTATTTTTATAAAAACCGCTTCCTAAGACATAAAAATCGACCCTCATATCGATAAAGTCTAAAAAATTATAAAAACTTCATGCGAATGGAGGGAAGGGAACATCTGAAACGTTACAAAAAGTGGTGCGCAAAGATGGTGGTGCGCAATTTCAAATCTGACTACATATTTATAAAAAAACAACCCCCAAAACATATTACTCGATCCTGATATCGTTTAAGTGCGGAAGGTTACAAAACGTTGATTCGGGGGAGGAGGGCGCCATTTCAATTTTTTCATTATTTTCATAAACAGCACCCTCCAAAATCATAATAGTCTCAACTAATACCGATTTAAGCCGCACAGTTACAAGCAACCGATGTCTGGGAAGGAGGGTTGCACAATCTTAAATAGGACAGTATTTTCATAAAAAGCGCTCCACAAAACATATTAATCGACCCTGATATCGATTAAATCCGGAAAGTTACAAAAAGTCGATTCGGGGGGTGCGCAATGTCAAATCCGATAGTATTTTCGTAGAAAGTGCTCCACAAAAAATAATCTGCAACCCTGATATCGATTACATCTGGAAAGTTACAAAAAGTCAATGCGAGGAGTGGGGGAGGCAATATAAAATCCGACAATATTTTCATAGAAAAGCCACCCCCCCAAAAAAAATATATATATAAATAATAGTCAACCCTGATGTCAATTAAATGTGGAAAGTTACAAAAAGTTGATTCGGAGAAATGGGAGGGAGGAGGTGCAATTTCAAATCTAACATTATTTTCATAGAAAGCGCCCCTTATAACGATTTAATCCGAACAGTTTATTATTAATTATTTAAGTTACAAACAGTCGATGGGAGATCAGTCGCAATTTAAAATCCGACATTTTTTCATAAAAATCCAAAACGTAATAGTCGAATCTGATATCGATTAAATTCGAAAAATTATAAAAAGTCGACGGGGGCAGGGAAGATGGAATCTAAAAAACGACATTATTTTCATAAAAAACGCTCTCCACCCCCCCAAAAAATAGTTTTTTTTTTCATAAAAAGCGCCACGCACAATATAATATCTGATCCCGATATCGGTTAACTCCTACAAAAATTCAAAAAGACGATGGGAGGAGAGCAAATTCAAATACAATAGAATTTTCATAAAAATTGCCTCCGATTACATAAAAAGTCGATACTAATATCAAGTAGTCCGTGTTGGAACGGAGCATTGACCAAAGCCCACAACCGGACACAAAAATTGTAATCGGAGAATTCAATGTCCAGGTCAGGAGGGAAATGGCCTACAAACCAACAATTGGAATGAACAGTCTGCATGATGTATTGAATGATAATTGCAGATGCATGGTGTGCCTGGATGCTTCAAGGGGACTAGTGGTTGGTAGCACGGTGTTCTCTCATAAACGAGTACATAGAGCAACATGGAGATCCAATGATAAGACCACATTGAATCAGATGAATCATATCCTGATGAGCGCTATCAAGCCTAAGAGATGTAAGGACATACCGTGGAGCGAACATCGATTCAGACCACTATCTGGTCATATCTCGAATCAGGGCTAGAATCTCTACCGTCTGGAACCGAAGAAGAGTAACTCAGCCAAAGTGGAATATTGGGAAGCTCAAAGACCCTTAAAGGAAAAATAGTTGTGTTGACTCCATGGACGAAAAACTGCGAACCTTGACAATGAAAGGTGATACTGAAGACCATTGGGGAAAATGTAAGGAAGCGGTAAAAGTCGTTGCCGACGGGGTCCAGTCTCTCACCCTTAGGAAACCATGGTTTGATGACTATTGATGACATGCTACAACCTCGCTGAAGAACGCTCAAGAAGCTCACAAGCTGACCCTACAGAGAAACACTATAGGCTCCCGATGACTGTGATAGTGTCGTAAATTCCATTACAACCACAATCTAACAAGCCGCCTGTACTGCCTACTTCCCAAAAGACCTCTCCAGAATTCCTAAAAAGATCATTCTACCCCAACACCTCCTTGACCTAATCCATACCAAACGCCGTGCCAGATTATTGTGGCAACGTACCCGACATCCTACCGACAACTGCTCCTATAATTATTACTGCAAAAAATTAAAGCTGGAATTAGCCACATTCAGATCACAATCCTTCAACTCCTACCTATCCTCCCTCTCTTCTCGCGACAATTCTCTTTGGAAAACCACAAAAAAAAATCCTGAATCCTCACCGCATTCCCCATCCCCTCCGACGAGATGATGGCTCCTGGGCAGTTCGCTGAGGATAAGAATAAGATAAGGCTGAGGAGTTCGCCATTCACCTATCCAATACATTTATTTCACGTCCGGAATCCCATCCTGCCCATACCGCAACAGTAGAAGAACTCCTTACATCACCAATCCCACTTTCCTTGCCCCCAAAAGCTATTCATCCTTCCGAAGTGAAATTTCAATTAAAAATCTAATCCCCCGTAAAGCTCCTGGACATGATCTCCTTACCCCTCAAATCCTTCGACAACTTCCATCCAAAGCAGTCATATTCCTTACATATATCTACAATTGTATCCTACGTACCACCCACTTCCCTCTGTTATGGAAACACTACATTATTATCCTTTTCCCAAAACCAGGCAAACCTCCCAATAACTCAAGATCCTATAGACCAATTAGCCTACTCCCAATCCTTTCAAAAATTTTTGAAAAGATCCTTTTGAAACGAATCCTACCCATTATAGAATCCCAAAATATTCCTTCCCATCAGTTTGTTTTTAACACTCAACATTCTACTGTTCAACAAGGACTCCGAGTTGTTGATCATATCTCCTCAGCCCTACCTAGAAAACAAGGAATACTGTTCGGGTGCATTTCTGGACATTGCCTAGGCATTTGACCGGGTATGGCACTCCGGGCTGCTCTTCAAGCTTAAAATCCATTTACCTCAGTCCTTGTACCTAGTCCTTCGATCCTACCTCTTTGACTGCTCCTTTCGAGTTCGCTGTGCAATAGAAATTTCCAATATCTACTCCGTTAAAGCCGGTGTTCCCCAAGGCAGCGTCTTGGGTCCCGTGCTTTACATCCTATTTACTGCTGACACCGCAATCTTACCATCCAACTCTGATCCCAAAATAGCATCCTTAAATCTCCAAAGCCACCTCACCTTGATTGAGCACTGATGTAATAACTGGGGCATTAAAGTTAATGAATCTAAATGCCAACATATTACCTTTACACTCCGACGCAATTCCTGTCCACCAGTACTCTTTAATGCCATCCAACTTCCTTACTCAGACACATTTCGGTATCTTGGCTTTCATTTAGACCGAAGACTAACGTTGAACCCACATACTAGACTCAAAAGGCAAGAACTCAACCGACGATACGGCCAACTATACCGACTACTAAACAGAAAATCTAAACTTTCCATTGAAAACAAGTTACTGATTTACAAGATAATACTGAAACCTATTTGGACTTATGGGCTAGAACTGTGGGGATCAGTAAAATTTTCTAACATCAAGCGCATCCAATCCTTCCAGTTAAAAGTTCTTCGAACAATAGTCGATGCTCCTTTCTATGTAACCAACAAAGCCCTACATCATGACCTCAACATCGCATTTGTCCTAGACCTTATCCCAGAAAAGTTTTCCAAATTTCACCAGAACCTTACGTACCACCCAAATCCTCTTGCACAATCCCTATCAAGCACCACCCATCCCTATAATCCTCCAAGAAGGTTGAAACGGCAGTGGCCTCGGAACTTTTTGTAGATTGTATATATTGGAGTTATGGCAATGGCCAGATTTTCCACTCAAGACATGAGTGTATGTTTTTTACACCGTCAGTTCTTGCCACTGATCAGAACCTTCCTTAGCAAAAAGGGTAGCGTGCATCTACCATTAGGAGAAGCGCTGCTAACACCTGCGGAACAGGCTGAATTTCAGGCGAGAAACTATGGAGCGAGGGATGCTGAACGGGCGAGAAGTGCCCCACCGGTACAGGATGGAACACTTCTTAGTTTCGCCGAGAAGCGTTACAACGGCACATCAAGGGAAACAAGGCGTCAGGACGTCAGGACAGGACGAGGTATGTGCTATTGAAGATGCGATGTATGTGCTTTTAAAGATGCTCCCCAGAAAGACTCTACCGCCTGCTGACGTCTCCCAAGCTTTCGTTGACATTGAAACTCTAGATATTTAAGGCGGCCATCAGGTCTATTCTGCTCTATGGTGCACCGCTTCTCCGCCATTTGTATCAGACGAAACTTTAGAGATTGCAGAGTTATCAAAATTCGGTCCTTCGGCGTATAGTCAGAGGGACCCATCTTCAGAGAGCCAGAAACAGAGAGATCTACCAGGAGCTCAAACTCTACCATGACCCTCGGCCCCGGAATTTATTGGGCTGAGGCACATCAAATTTTTTTATGGGCTAAAGACCTGTGCAAATACGCTGTTCCATGAAATCGCCCCATCGCGACAAAGTCCCCTTGGTAAATGTCCTTTTCCAAGGAGGGGGTTTGGACCCTGCAGTCTGAAGCCGCCGTCTTTGTAAATAATTAAATATTGTATACATGTAAATAGCCATTATTTATTACCCCATGTGTAAAAAAGCGGGATTGTTCCTCCACGACCAGTGAAGAAACAAAGGCCTCTGGCCATAAATGTAAAATATGCATACAGCATGCAGAGCCCTTTACCTTAAAATGCCTTCCGGCAAAAAAAAAAAGGAACTTTGAAAAATGTATATGTAGCTATAATTGTATTAGTATATTATTTTTAGATAATAAAGAAATCGTAAGGGGTGGAAAAAAAAGAAAATCGTATAATTTTTAAATTTAAATTAATGAAATACTATTTCACATAATTAAAATGATTTAGAACGTAATTAGATCATTATTCCTGAAGTGACAACTGAAACTGAAATAAGGCAATATTAGAATGATTGCTAACTAGAAGTGCAACTTACAATTCTACAAGGGTATTCATAATTTTAATTAGGCACTTGGAACTTCTTTAGTTTCTAATGGCAATATATTGTGCACGAGTGACTATGTACTCCAATTTGGAAACAGCAGCGGTGATTCGAGGAGTCCAGAAGCGGATCTCTACCGAGAGCTTAGTCATCGGCAACTTCCGCTTTGGCTACTAGAAACCACGTGATAAAATTGTACTGAGCAGATCTGCACTAAATCAATGTGCGATCAATGTTTAGTAGTACCATCACCTGACACACACTTCCTAAGGTATGTGTTCTTTTTTATTTATTGTTAGTTTATTTTATACTTATTTATTGTATACATATTATTTTTCTGTATAATTTATTTTTTTCATTGTACATAGAGTGTTAATGTGACCTCTGAACACTATTATAAATATCCTTTGAGACAGATTGTAATATTCGCAATAAAAAAGTTTAAAAAAAAGTCTGCCAAGTAAGGTCAGTATAGCTTCTTCACTGTTTCCGTTGTATATTACAATTGTATATTTTATATCCAAATTCGAAAAAAATCGGTCCAGTAGTTTCGGAAAAAAATGCACGGCCGGCTGACGGCGGACTAGTAGTGCTTATATAAGAGAAAGTGGTGGACAGAATTCAATAATATTGACACTACATTATTTTTCCACCAAAACCCACCTTTTATCCAACTTTGATCCAAATTAAAAAAGCCCTTTCTTAAATATTGGCATATCTACTAATATACGTTTGCGCGTGCTGGATGGAATTTGATAAAATTGATAGGGGACCATCTAGGCACCAGTCAGCATAATCTCTGAAAATTGGATAAATGGTACTAGATGATACTCCCGTCATATCTATTAATACAGACAGACAGACAGAAACCGAACCAAATTTGATCCTTGATGTCTGAAACGTAAAACGTGATTTGAAATTTTTGATTCTGAGCACAACATTTTCTTTTTAATCTCCGCACTAACACAATGCTTCAATACCTTCGGTAGTGAGGAAGCAAAATATTTTAAAATCGCGATATTTCTACTATTAGTGCGTTGATTTCGCTGAAACTTTCTTCATTTTTTAGAAAATTTGAATACCGTTGAAAAATCTTATCACGATATTGCCAAAAATGCGTATACTTCTTGAGTTATTCGGAATTTAATTTTACCATCCCTCGTAACTTTTTTTTTTAGCTTCTTTTCGTTGAAGTATGATATATAAATAAATTTAAAGAGCGTAGAGAAAATGACTTTAGCGAAGTTTCATTAAAATCGGTACATTCGTTTAGGCGCTACAGTCTATAGCACCGCAGGCTTTTCGGCCGCCATTTTGAAACTAGAAGGCGAATAGTAATGTCGTTGAAGGAAGATCATCCTCGGAAGACCTCTGATTTTATATCCTAATTCGAAAAAAAGTGATTATGAGAATATCTATGAGTTTTGTTAGTTGCTTATGGCATATACATACTACGTTGGTGATAAATTCGTGAATGAGATGCACGCCATGTAGACCATGAAAACAGTAGAATCTGTAACACTTCTTCAGTTTTCAACCAATCGACACTGCACATATTTACAAGTTTCTGCAAATGTACACGAGCATATGGATTCTAAAACAGTAGGAAAAATATTTAATAAAACTTTAATTAGATAGAATCACTTGGAGGATCAATTATCAATGTTTATCATTATTAGTATTTTTTTGGATTGTTGAGGTCAAATTTCATTTTATAATACTAGAAAACTTTATTTTTACTTCTGCTCACATAGAAATTGTTAAGTATAGCTTTTTTTAACATTAGATATTGTAAACTATCTTAAAGAATTGAATTTATTAGGTCATTACCTGGTGAAAGCTAATGTATCTATTTGAAAAAGCAGTGTATAATGTTTTATAACATAAGGAGTTATTTTGAGATAAAAAATATTTTGATTTTTTCAATTCATTCTTTCTGTCCAATAATTCATCTGTTGTTATATCAATTAACTTATCAAATGTTTGGTCAACAAGTTTACGTTTCTGAAAAAAAAAAATGGCACTGATTCTTCATTTTTGGAAATTTTTAGCTATAAATGATCTACTCAGTTGAATACAATAAGATCAAAATAAATTACATTCAGTAATTCTTTTATTTTTAATTTCAGGATACTACGCTCCTCTGCATCTTCGGTAACAAATAACTGGTTTTGAAGGATAACATGAGATACATCCATATTATCTGCTTTATCCTGAAATGTAAACAATAATGTGTATTAAGAAGTAATGAAATGAAAATATATTTTATTATTCTGGAATTGTAGTCCCTTTAGAAAAAAATTATAATCACAAGTAAACATAATCATCAGAGAGAGAGAAAAATACAGGAAAAGCGTGCATATATATAATACAAACAGAGAAAACTAAATTAACAGAAATATTTTATGGGTTTACTGAGATAGCTCTCTTAGGTATATTTCGTAATCAGACGGATTGAGAAAGGAGTAGTTATTTAAAGAGGAGAGGTTAGAAAGAGGAAACTGATTGTGCTTGTCGGATATCAGCTGGAATGGCATTCCAGAAGGAGGCCGCTTGAATTGCAAATGATTTGTTAAACGCAGCAGTTTGGTGAGGAGGGTGATAGAGCTGTGAAAAATATAGCAGGATCGATGAGTTCTAATTATCTGGTACAGAAAGGTAGCTAGGAGGTACTAACGGCGATAGGATGGATAGACTCACTTCAACTCGGTGTAATAGAATAGAATAGAATAGAAAATAACTTTATTCTGGGACAAAGTCCCTTTAGAATAACAAAATAGAACATAATTAAAATACTACATCTGGCCAAAATAAACAATAATAAAAAAAGAGAAAGTAAAGAAAATATTAGTTAAAAAAGCTATATACAAAAAAATAAAAAAAATCTATATACAAAACACTTAAAACTATGATAAAACACTTAAGACTGTGTACAGTAGGAAAAATTATAATAATACTCTTTTGAAAAATGAAATAATAAAAAATAAATTGAATTCTTCTGTAAAATGATGTGTGTTTCTGCTAACAAAGAAAAGACAAAGCTGACAATATAAAATATCAGTGTATTTAAATAATGATTAATATGTAGACTCATCATTGTCAAATGCTAGAGGTACCGATTTGATTAAATACCAATAAAAAAAAATAATAAATAAAACAAAAAATAGATGTGGTCAGTGGCATTAAGAGCCGGAATATATTGTAATATCCCTAGTGAAGTTCACAGTATAGAATAGTACTATCATTTGATGATGACTAGAATATCGGAAGTTTAGCAAGTATCTGACTGTTTTTGGGATAGGAATTGGAATAGGAGGGATTTGAATGTGGATATGGAGGTGGAATGCCGAATTTTGATAGGTAGAGAATTCCAGAAATTGACAGCGCGAGCTATAAAGGAATTCTGAAATGAGGCAGATCTGTGCGAAGGGATGTAAAGGTCAGAAGGTCGAGATCTTGTTGAAAGGGAATGGACTGAGGACTTGAATTGGAGAAGGTTGTAGGCATAAGAAGGACGATGGTTGTTGATGATTTGGTAGAGGAACGTACCTAGAAAATATTGTCTTCTAAAGGAGGGGAAGAGCCACCTTAACTCAGTGTAGGGGTCACATGGGAGTACCTCGGGGCACCGATAACAAATATTACGCAGCTATTCATTAATCTTTTCAGTCTATCACGGAGCTCCACCGAGAGGCCATCATACACCACACAGCTGTAGTCAAAGTGGGGGAAGATGAGAGAGGAAATTAGGAGTCTACGGGTGTGTTGAGGTAGGAGATGGCGGAAGCGATAAAATAGTTTAATGGTAGAAATTGTCCTACGGGAAATGTGAGAAATATGGTAGTTCCAGGAGAGAGTTTAATCTATGAAAATTCCTAAATTTTGAACAGAGGAGTAGAAGGAAATTGGCTGGTCATTAAGGTGTAATATGGGAAAGTCAGTATGGGATCTAATAAGGGGCTTGGAACCAATGACAATGGCCTGAGTTTTGGCAGCATTTAACTTTAATCCATTTACATTTGCCCAGGCACTGATTCGATCAAGGTCTTCTTGAATCTTGGCAAATGCTACCATTAACTCAGAGAGAGAAAAGGATAGGTAGATCTGGGTATCATCTGCATAAAGGTGGTGGGAACAATGGAGAATTGAATTCTGAAGGTCGTTAATGTAAGAACTGAAAAGGAGAGGAGATATACTTGAACCCTGGGCAACTCCGGAGGATAAAGGAAGGTAGGCAGATAGTGGTTGATTGGGTATGGAGACTGTTTGGGTGCGTTGGGAGAGGAAAGATTGGAACCAAGAGATGGAACTATTGGAGAAAGATAATGATTTTAGTTTGTTGAAGAGGATGTAATGGTTGATGGAATCAAAGGCTTTGGAGAAGTCGAGAAGTATAAGGACAGTTAATTTTCTATCATCTATTGCAGATTGTATGTCGTTGGTAATTCTAATTAAGGCAGATTGTGTGGAGTAGCCGGGACGGAAACCAGATTGGAGAGGATCAAATTGGTTGGACTTTTCGAGGAACTTGGAGACTTGGGATTGCACCAGTCTTTCAAGAGGCTTTGAGAGGTTAGAAAGAACTGAAATTGGACGGAAATCTTCTGGTAGGCTTTTTGTTTAAAGGAAGAACAATGGCTTTTTTCCAAGAGGTAGGGAATACTGAATTCTGAAGGGAGTAATTGTAGATAAAAAGGAGAGCTGGGAGGATTTCAGGGAGACATATTTTTATTAATTTGACAGGGATGCCGTCTGGCCCTATGGAATTGGTGTGGGATCTTATTACCGCGGTTAACAGGTCTGTGGGAGAAATGTCGGAAAAATAAAAGTTATTGTCGTTAAAGGATATCTCTGGAGAAAAGCCGGAAAAGGAAGGTAGAGAAGAGGTATTAGCGACAGATATAAAATAAGAGTTTAAATTATCGGAGGATATAGGAAAGGCTGCGGTAGGGGATCTGGAATTATTACAAATGGAAAGTTTACGAAGCAGTAGCCACTTCGATTTGATATCAGGAGCTGAGGAAAGGGTTTCATGGAAGTAGAAAGCTTTCGCACGCCGGATCCTTGTCTGTGCCAAGTTGCGAAGTACCCTGAACGCTTGGTAGTCATCTGCTAGCCTAGTACGTCTAAAACGTCTTCTTGCAGCGTCACGCCTCTTCTGCACATCTTTGATTTCCTGACACATCCAAGGAGCAGGCCGGTGACGAAAGGTAGAGGTTTTGAGGGGAGCATGGGTATTGAGAATATTGAGAAGATTGGTGGTAAGAATGTCAACCATGGAGTCGATAGACGAGCAAGAATATATTCCATTCCAATCTAGGGTTTCTAGGTCAGGTAATATTTTTTCTCGAGTAAGGGTATCTAGGTGACGGAAGGTGATAGTTCGAGGCTGGATTGAAGGAGTTCGGATATTATATGTTATTTGTATAAGATCCTGAGATGTTAGGAATGATACTGGCAATTGAGAAGAAGAGAGGAGATTTTGTGCAGAGTCTATAATGTAGAAGTCTAGCCAAGTGTCGGACCTGCTGGTGTGGTGGGTGGGGGCAAATGGAACGATGAAGAGGTGCAGAGAGAAAATTAGGTTTTCTAGATAGGATTTGTCATTGGAGTTAGAGAGGAAATTGGTATTGAGGTCACCGGAGATGATTATTCTGGGATATAGAGGAACGAAGTTGAATAGGGTTGATTCAAAGGACTGATCAAATGGAACATGGGGAGGACGATATACCACAGTGTAAAGGAGAGGAAGATCCTTACAATGGATTTCTACTAGAAGATATTCAACTTGAGGATGATCAGAGGGTGGTGAGGAATCGAGGATTCGAGTCTTCAGGCTATTATGGACAAACATGGCTACTCCTCCGCCATTCCGGTTTACCCGGTCATGACCGGTGTGATTAGGCAAGGAAACAGAAGAGGATGGGATGTAAGGTTTAAGCCAAGTTTCAGAGATTGCGATAGTATGATAAAAGTTTTGAGTGAAATATTGCAGGAACTCGTCATAGTGGGCAGGGAGGGATTGAGACTTAACATGACAGGTGATTAGGGTACTAGACATGAGAGGAATTGGTAGAGAAACTCTAAAACAAATAGAAAATACAAAAAGGCATTTACAATTAATGAAAATAGCAGAAAAGAAAGTGTAAGCAGAAACAAAAAAATAAAATAAAAAACATATGGTCAATAAAATATAAATTAGTGTGTAAATGTGAAGAGATATCTCTATGCGTAGAAGTGAAAATGTTCCTTTGTAGATAATTGAGTTCAAAGTTATTTTAATGAGGATGAGGAGTAGACGAATTCTTCGTGGTCAGGCAAATATATCGAGGTCCGAGGCCTGTTCAATCAGAATAACTTTATGCCCGTCCTCCTTCAGACATCGCACCTTTCCAGCGGCAAACCACGTATATTTGATTTTCCCCGCAGCTCTCTTCTGTCGGGCAAGCCAATATAAGTGTCTGTTCGTGGGAGTCATTTCCTCACTCAGATATATCCGGTGACAGTCATTCTCCTGCCAGCCGATATCCCAAGTAGTGAGATCCCTCTTGACTTTCCTCTTCGTTATTAAGTCGTCTTTGACTGACTGTTTGACAAAGCGCGCGATGACAGGCGGCGGTCGTGGGTCATCTTTTCTACTTCTGCGGCGATGTACTATGTCCAAGTCATCTGTACTGAGCCTGATGCCCAAACTTGCTCCAATGCTAGTCACCAGAGCGGCGGGCTTTTCACCAGATCGCTCCGGTATCCCTCGGATCTCCAGTGATCTGGATAACAAGCCCTGCTCTGCATTATTCAGGCGAACCTCCAATTCGCCCACTCGAGATTTGAGGGCTTTATTTTCCATTATTATTTTTTCGAAATGACTGGCTTGACCTTCGAGGTGTTTCTCAATTTTCGATTATTTTTCATTAAGCTCAAAATTGAGCTCTCCATATTTATCGAGGGTTGTTTTTATGTCTTCATTGACACACGAGTCTAAGCGATTTACTGCCGCCAGTATTTCTGAGCCGGACGGCTCAGTGTTGGGTTTTTTGGTCTGGTCACAATTAGGGCATACCCATGTTTTTTTGTATCCTTTTAAGGCTTCAATTTCTTTTTCACTCAAATTAATTAATTAAAAAAAATAATCAGTAGATTATAATACTGAGTAATATGCGTATTTCTTGAAATTCCGAAAACAAAACGTAATGCACAATTCATTAGGCGTTTA